TTAAAAAAAAAAGCTAAAGCCCCGAAGTTAAAAGGAGCTGGTTCATGTGAAGACTGCTGACACGTTCCTGAACGTAGCTGACATAATTGCAAAGCTGAATAGGAACGTGCTTTCCCCCTGAGCTCAGGGAAGGGGCTCATCCCTGTAGAGCCCTGCCTAACACGAGCCCCTCACTGAGCAGATACCGGCTCTGAAAGGAAGGCCAGCCACAGGCCTGAGAGCCCAGCAGCCTTGCAGTGGGGGTGCACGCGCTAATGTGGGGCCTCATAACCAAATCCCGAACCCTGGCTCCATCCCTAGCTCTCTCTCCTTTTTTCTTTTTTTAAGATTTTATTTATTTGAGAGAGAGAGCACAAGTGGGGTGAGGGTCAGAGGGAGAAGGAGACTCCCCACTGAGCAGGAAGCCCAATGTGGGACTCAATCCCAGGACCCTGGGATCATGACCTGAGCCGAAGGCAGACGCTTAACAACTGAGCCACCCAGGTGCCCCTCTCTCTTCTCTTTAAAACTCCCATCACAGTGGGAGAGGGCCATCTCCCAAGATGGAATGGGAGAGGCACAGGCCTTCCCGTCCAATGAGCCCATTGCTAGACTCCCAGAGCAGTGATATACGTGTGCTAAGTCACAAATGTAAGCCACAGATGTAATTTTAAATTTTCTAGCAGCCACATTACAAAAGTATCAGGAAATAGGTGGAACTAATTTTAATACATTTTATTTAATCAAAAATATCATTTCAACATGTACTCAATAAAAACTTGATTAACAAAGATCTTTCACATTATGGTTTTCACATCAAGAGTGCGTGTCCTTCACACTCCCGGCACACCTCGGCTCCCATTCGCCCCACTCCAGCGGGCAGGCGGCCGCTGGGTTGGACAGCACAGCCCAGCCCGAGATCAAAGCCCTCCCACTGTGTATCCGTGTAACTTCATCAGCCTCCCAAATCTGTCCTCCCTATCTCTTGCCTCTCTTCCCTGCAATCTATCCCAACACCCAATGCAGGCCTGGACTTCTGAAGACACCTGCCCCCAGCTCCAGAGAACTTTGCAGCCTTTTGTAACGCAAGTATATGAACTGGCATTTAAAATCCTCCCTTCCGCTCCAGCAGACTCCTGCCACCTTACCCCCATCTTTTCCCCCAGGACCTTCCAGCAGTCAGGGTGGTGTCCTTCCTGGTCACACCATGGCCAGACACAGGCCCCAGCCCTTGCCTCCAGAGCCTGCCCTCTGCCCTGCGGGCTGTCCTGGCATCCTGATCTAACCGACGCCTGAACGCTGCCTCTCTCCACCCCAGCCCACCGAGATCCGCAGGTGCAGTCCCAATTCAGCTTTCCTCCCCTCAAGTGTTTTCTATTTGCAAACAAGCAAACTCCTGGGCAAAGCAAGAACGCGAAGGGGTCCAGAATATGCCACGGTGGCATAAAAATGATTCTGAGCTGAAGACACTGGAGCTCCTGAAATCCCTTCTGGTCTAAAAGCAGAACCCCCCAAAAGAACTCGAAAGAATTCAAAGGTCATAAGTCCCCTCCCAGGAACAACCAGGGAAGACTAACTTACCACCTAGACTAGAAGTCAGCACCACACCCACACAGACGCGGTCACAAAACCATCCTACTCCCTTCTGTGCTAAGGGCCCTTCACCTCTCCTAAAAGTCACCTGTTTTCCAGCTTCCCCTGTTAAGATGCCCCCAATCCTAAACCCTGTCTTTTCTTGTGCTAATCTATCTTTTGTGAGATTTGCAGGCCCGTAAGCCTGAATCTAAAGAGGGCAGTTTTTCCTCCCCAACAGACTCAAAGGCAGTATTTTTTGTTTTTAATTGAAAAGATGTTAGTAAAGCACGAAGGAAGTTTCTTAAAAACAAACAAATTCACACATAACTGCCCCACCCCGTCACCATATTGTCACCTTCAGTATTCCCTCTGGGGCCTCACACAAGCCCAGGTATACACTCTTGTATTCTGCCGATTCCCATATATTCCAGATTTTTCTCTTGTATCCAGCTAGGCTTAATTATTTCAGTGGGCTGCATAATTAGTTGTGCTGATACAAGATAATTTATCAGGGCCTACCCTCTGCTAAGCCATTTAGACGTTTCCAATATTCTGCATTCAAAGTAACACTATTAGTGAATAATATGCACAAAGTTTTTTGCTCGTGTTAAACTCTCCTCTAGGATATATTGCTGAGTGAATGGATGAAATTCTCTGAAATGGCAGAACTGAGCCTTTTCCTACTTCTTGCTATGATCACACAGACTGCTTCTAGAAGGCTCTACGATCCACAGGGCTATCAGAAATGCACTTGTTACAACTGGGTATTAATCCGTTTTTGCCCACTTAAAAAAAAACAAAGAGAGAAGAGGCCATTCACAGTGGGAAGACAATACATTCAGGCAGCCTTAAAAGCAAAGAGGAGAGTGACAAAGAGGGGCCGGCACACTTACTGGGGATCTCCAGGCTGGGGTGGATGGCAGCTACACTCCTGACCATGGGCGGGGAGTGCCGTCCATCCACCAGGTCGGACTCGGCGTCCTGTGCTTCTCCGTGAATCACCGCGATTCCCAGGCGCAGGCGCTCAGCGAAAGACTGTGCCCTGAGGGAGAGCATGAGACACGGTTCAGAAAGCACGCAGCTTCCGTTGTCTGACGTTCACGGGAGGAACATACGAGAACAGACAACCAGTGTAGTTTCCGAGAGGATTAATGAAAAGAGAGAGAAAATAATCTCCGAGTCCTAGGATCCGGGACAAAGCATGGGGACCCCAGGTGATGAGCATGTCCCTCTCGCAGGGGGCACCAGTGGCCGGACAGCAGCCTGGTCTGCACTCAGTGGGCTAGCTGCGCCTGCACTCGCTAACTCTGCTAAGCCGCATCTTCCTCGCTTCTAACTGCTAATCCACCTTGCCACCCACTTAACAGTGAGAACAACCACAGGAGGCAAAGGGCATTAAATACTCCTCAAAGCCATAAGCGTCAATTTTTAAGTTTTACTGAGATACAAGTGAGACCCAACAAACTGTGCATATTTAAACCGTACAATCTCATAAGCTCTGATGTATACCACATCCATGAAAACCGTTAGCACGACGAAGACAATGAAGATATCTATCGCTGCCAGACATGTCCTTGTGCCCCTTAGTAACTCCTTCCAGAACTAGGCAACCAACAATCTGCTTTCTGGCACCAGAGTCTGACCTTTTCTAGAATTTCCTAAGTGGAATCGGAGTATGTCATCATTTCTTATCTTACTTCGTTCACTAAGGATAACATTTTGGAGATTCGTCCACATTACATGGCCTATCAACAGGTCACCCCGTCACACTGCAACAGTCCATTATGTGGGTCTACCAGAGTTTGTTCATTTACTTGATACATTGAGTTATTTCCAGTTCTGAACCATGACAAAACTGCTTTGAACATTCATGTACAGATCTCTGCATGGACTCACGCTTTCCTTCCTCTTGGGTAAAAACCTAGGAGAATGGCTGGATCATAAGGTAAGGCATATATTTAACTCTCTAAAAAAACAACCAGACTGCTTTGCAAACTGGTTATACCATTTTACATTCCCCTGAGCAGTGCATGAGGGTCCTAGGGCCTCCATGTTCTCACCAACACGTGGTGTGGGCGATTTCAAATGCTATCCATTCTAATGGTGCCTAGTGGTACCTCACTGTGCTTTCCGTCGGGATTTCCCTCATAACAAACAGTGCTGAACATCTTTCATGTTCTTATCTGCCATTTGAATATATAGTTTGATAAAGGGTCTGTTTATCTTTTGCCAATTTTAGTTGGGTTGCTAGTTCTCTTACGAAGTTTTAGGAATTCTTTATATCTTCTGAATGTAAGTTCTTTTTTTTTTTAAGTTTATTTATTTAATTTTTTAAGTGATCTCTCCACCCAACATGGGGCTTGAACTCATGACCTCAAGATCAAGAGTCTCACGCTCTTCCGACTGAGCCAGGCAGGTGCCCCTGAATATAATACGTTCGTTATCAAGCACATGCTTTACAAATATTTTCTCCCAATCTGAGCCTTCTCCTATCATTCTCCTAGTAATGTCTTCTGAAAAGTAGTTTTAGGGGGAGTGGGAGAGGGAGAAGCAGGCTTCCCGCCGAACAGGGAGCCCAATGTGGGACTCAATCCCAGGACCCTGGGACCACAACCTGAGCTGAAGGCAGACGCTTAACAATGGAGCCACCCAGGCGCCCGAGTAGTTTTACTTTTGATGATGTTTAACAATTTTTTTCTTATAAAATGTACTTTTGGTGTCTTATTTAAAAAATTTTTGTCCAGCAAAGTCACAAAGATTTTTCTCCCCCGTTTTCCCCTAGAAGTTTT